TGCATGCCAGACAGGAGCTCAGTGTATAAATGTGCCTTAGAGCTTGGGATCTTCTATATATGAACAACTGGCACAAAGTCATACAGACTCGTGATTCAAAAAGGGCAAAGCAACAGGGCAAACAATTTTTCTTCAATTTAAAAATTGACTGAAAACACACACAACTAAAGAAAATACAAATGTTATATAGGAAAAGAGGCCAGATCAAATTAATCCTTGACCCATTGGCTTTTTACAAATTGAAAACCTGCTATTTGATACCAACATTCCATTGGTCAGAGATAAGAAGCTCCTACCAACAATAATGTTGGATTCGTCATTTTAAAGTTTCAAGTGTCACACAACAACATCTACTGTACATCTACAGTTCTTTCAGCCTGAAAGTCTTTCATTTTTGTTTAAAGTTGTTCATTACCAAGTCAATTACTTTGCCAATAATACAATTTTCCTTGGAAGATCTCCATTTCTGCAGCCTTATAAATCAGATAAAAAAGTAAGTTAGGGCTGTGATTTTTGAAGCGTGGTCAATAGCTTTGAGGCATGAAGTATCTTAATAAGTTTTCCATTTGATATTGATTTTTATTTATGCATTCAGCAGGATGATCAGGGAGATAATCTGGTTATATCCTCTGCACAGGTTATTCAGACACCTTGAGTTATTCGGTTTTGAGATGGAAAAAGGGAAAGTGACAGGAGGAGAAGTAAATAATTTCACCATGCTCATCAGAATTATTCATTTCATTTACTTCAGCGAGAAAAAAGTACAGAGGCATGCAGTTTCCCAGTGACCCAGAGGAATCTCATTTTATACAACTGAACACCTGACCAAATCAGTTCAGTAACCCACCAGTTTCTAGAGTCAGAGTCAATGTAATAAAAAGGAAGAGATTTCATTAAAAAAAATATAGAATATCAAAAGAAAAGTCATGTGTACTGTTCTGTGTTACATTCAACACTTTGCTCAAATTTATGAGGATTTATTATGGGTAGTAGAGATATCCCAGAGAATCTGTATAATAAGAATGGTTATGAACTTTTAAAAAGAATATTCCTGTGTTTCTAAAATAATTAAATTGTTTTTTTACTCTCTTGTGGTTTGGGATACTGTACATGTGCTGTATTTGGATCATTTGTGGTTACCATGGTGATTCACATGACTCCTTATAAGGGACCCAACTGACCTGGGTCATTTAAGTCTTGGAGAATAGTTCGATGGAAGTGTATGTAATAAAAATGTAATCGCTGTGGATGGCAATGGAATTTCCAAAAAGAGCAAAAAGCTGTTTTGACAGATGTATTAAATGCATTCCAATTTTTAATGTGTAATATTCTAACATTTTTGGAATCTTCTCATATCATATCACATTTAGGGCCTGTATGGACAATACAAAACGTGGACAACATAATTAACAACACATCAAATATTTAGATAGTTGATTCTAGAATCGTATTCAGCATGGTAGGCCACAAAAGATGGCCTTATTATTGCAAACACTCTGTGGAGAACATACATCTCATTTCATGCCGTGAAAGTAGGTGACCCCCTGCAATTAATTCACACACATACAGTACTTTCTACTTCCAGGGGCTCTTCAGATTCTCTCTGACAGCTATAGAAGCTCCAAAAGGAGGTGAGTGGACTGAATTCTGAAGAGAAACAGGCAAGAGGCAAGAAAAAAAAACATGCCATTTCGAAGAGGAAACTTTGAAAAGTGTGAAACATTGTCACAGGCTTTTCCATGCAGGACGAAGCAAAAGCTACAGTCTTGGGTGATTTGAGTCTTGGCTGGGAGAGGTTGGAGAACTTTTGTTCATAGTAATAATAACTGTGTTATTGTTATTTTTATATGGACCCTCCACTCAAAGCACTTCACAGGGAATAGGGACTCCATTCCAGATGGGTAGCCCCGCCTGCAAGTAATCAGTAAGCCAGTTCATATGACCTTTTATCATGCAGTCAGATGGGCATTATTTGGAGGTTAAAGGCTTAACCATGACTGGTTAAAGGCCTATTGGAAATCTGGCCAGGACAAGACTCCTTTTCGAAAAACACCCTGGGATTTTTAATAATCACAGAGAGTCAAGACCTCAGTTTTACATTTTACCCACTGATCTGTGTCATTTTTACAGTATAGTGTCCCCGTCACTACACAGGGGCATTAGGACCCATGCAACCCATAGGGTGAGCACCCCCTGCTGGTTGCACTAATACTTCCAGCTGCAGCCTTAGCTTTCCCAGGAGGTCTCCCGTCCAGGTACTGACCAGGCTCACACCTGCTGAGCTTCAGTGGGTTACCAGTTGTGAGATGCAGGGCGAAATAGCTTTTGAATTGTAAACCATGACATTTAAAACTGTGTGCAGTGAGTGCCATGTAGAAACCAAAAGGTCTTTCCTGAAGCCTTACATTTCTTTGATAAAATGTTTACATTATTGATTCACTAAAAGAAACTGGAAAGATAATATAGATGGGAAGCAAAGTAAATCTGGAACAAATTGTGGAGCTATAACTAGTCCAGAAAACTACAAGAAAACTACCATCTTCAACAAATTATCATAGCTGATTAAAAGAGTATTAAAATGTTGGAACTAACCATCATTGTTTTAGGGATGATTTATTAGAGGTACCATCAGGCCCTAGGGATTTATTAATCTTTAATTAGTATTTATTAATCTTGAATTAATATTGAAATTTAATAAATGTTGTTAAGTTATGCCCTTTTCTAATTTTATGAACATGAATAAGAGAACCAAATCCAGAGTTTTCCAAGTGCAAGAAAGCACAGTATATCTCCTCCGAGATTAAATATTGTAAGTATATTTAATTTCTTGTATTTTGCACATGTATGTACAGATTTGTAGCTTGAGTATGTGTAACATACTTTTAAACAAATCTACAAAAATGCATAACCTGGTTGTGCAGTTATATTTAATTGCATGACTAAAGGTAATATTTAACAAATAAAGTACAGCATTCACAGCCACACACCGCACAAAGCCTAGTTTGTGATGCAAACTAGGATAGCTTGTGCAGTGTGAGGAATGCTGGTTCAGGGTAGCCCTTCTTTTACAGTAAGAATAGGCTGGATGCCAGGTGACGTGACCATGTAACCAGCTCTTTTTTGAGAGGCCATGTGTACAACTTGAGAATATAACTACAACAATCTCTTTATACTACGCTGGTGTCTGTGGTATAATAAGCATTGACTTTTAAAACCGTGCCTTAAGACTCAAATCCCATGTTTATTTCTTTATCGTCTAATCTTATTTTTCCAAAGCATTGCTTGTTCTTTTCTGACTTTTCCATTAATGACAAAAGCAGAATTTGTTAAATCAGAAAGAACAATTTTATTTTTTATGTAATTTGCTATTTACGATGTAGAAGCCAGCCCACCCAATGGGCATTTTTAGCACAAGTTATTTTGTTCTAGTACTCTCCCAGATATTAGGTTTTGCTGGATGGCTTGAATCTAGGGTCTGAAATATCAATTCAAGTGGTCAAACAAAGGCAAAATGTTAAAATGACAGAACACTATTACCGCTAATATATTACAGAATATATTGTACCGCTGCTACCAGTAGTATTACGGATATTAATTAAAAAAATGAACAAAGAATTGTAATTCTTATATTTACAAACTCACAAGAATATGGAAGTTTAGCAGATGTCAGCAGCATAGTTGCCCTACACACAGACTTTGTGAATGCTAACAGCTGAGCTGAGGTGTCTAACGTACGTACTCACCATGTCTTCAATAAGCATAGGGAATGCAAACTACAGTAAAAATACTAAATATGAACCATTGTGAAGTTTCTGAAATGCTTGTTTTATGTGTATTCGAGTGAATATTTGCTTTTCAATGTTTATATTTTTATTGCACTGAAATTTAAAGTTCTTAAGAGTTTCAGCACAACTTCCCGACTCATATCTCTTGCATCAAGAAACGTGCAGAATAAAGTCATCTGCATGCGATTATTCTAATGAATAAGTAAAAAGCAGTTATAAGCAATGCAGTGATAATGATTACAAACCACCTGATCTGTCTGTGATCAGACCATGAAACGGAGCAGCCAGCTCTACAGACTGGCACAGCATGCACCAAAACTTTAGTGACAATTTAGGAACACCAAATATGTATTCATATTACAGTACCAGTTGCCATGCAGCAAAATGCATAAAAATAATAAGGCAATTCAACCAGGTGTTTCACATATCCAAGGTGTTGATATATTCTAAATTAATTTGCTAAAGCCAGGTGATCAGTTGTTGTACCTTTAGCCTCCTAAATGCTGATTGCACAACTTTTGAGTCAACAGCTAACCTACATTCATGTCCAGCTGTAACTAACAGGACATTTTATTTGATTTTCAACAGGTTATTTATTGTTTTCAAATCAAAGTATCATGATGGAAACAAAGTCAGAACTTCAGAATCAAGAAACTAAATAATGTACATTAAATATTTGCCTTTGTTTGTATTTTACAATTATATTAGTCACAATATGAGCAGCATTGTGCATTATATATTCCAAATCAATAACTGTTAATTAGTATTAGTATTAAATTAATACTGAACGTGATCTATTGTTATTCACGGAAAAAATGTTCAAAAAAGAAACAAAAACGTTTAGACAGCATTGAAGAATTTAAACATAATCGATATTTTTTGTTGATTAATAGAGATAACTTTATATACGTTATCTATTATATTGCCTTGAAATGGGTTGGCGTCAAGTATCTTTCACTTTTGTTGGTATTTTCTTCAAGTAGCGGTAGTTTCTAACTACAGCAATCACCGTAATTAAGGATTACACATCCTTCGTATCACGATTGATTGCTGTTTTCACAGGTTATTAAAATAGAGTAATGGGTATTATCTATCAGCAAGGTAGTAGTCCTTCAGAGATTCTGAAAACGACAAGCCCACTTTTCCTTTTAACTCGGACATTTAATTGGAATCGCACAGGTCTCGGTGACGACATTCACGAGCGATATAAAAGCCGAGGACCGGCATAGGAGAGCGAAGAGAAACCTGCCGAAGCTCACGGTAATAAAACTCCGGTAAATCTGATAAAAGGAAAAAGAAATAAAAGAAAAAACAAACAAACTGAATTTCAAGAATGATGACAAAAGTCAGCATTTACTGCGCTGTACTGGTGCTGCTTCTAAACCAGATTGGAGCTAAACCGGTGTCCCACCTGCAGGTAAGACTTTTAGAGTTTGTGGATTTAAGAGTACTTTGCTGACACTGATTCCAAGCGTATAGACTGTATTGATTCCTTTCAGTTAGATCAAGCTACTATTTAAAACCTTGCTCAAATTAGAAATAAAACATCCTTGTTATAGCATCAACAATGTGAAATAAAGCGTCTTTATTTAATTTCTTTTCCATATGAAAATCTCGTGGTGTTACCTTTAGAATTTAAACACCAACCTACTGTACAGCATTGCAAATGTGTCTGTAGGACCTTACATTCAGAAATTCGTTGTTCTGGATTCGTGTAAAGGTTGTGAAGGAACTTTTCTGTTATTCCCTCTTGTGAAAGGCAATTAATTCCTGTATAATAACGAGCAAGGCCAATGGCTTGGGCATTCGTAAGGCGAGCACCTGTCTTCTGCGTGTCAGGGCTCCTTAACAGTTTGTGTTGTTGGGTTTTTTTTTTCTCAGACCCTTACGCAGCTCTTGGAAGAGGAACGGAATCCACCTTATCCCGCCTCAGAAGAGGCTGAGGGAGAAGGAGACCTGACAGCAGAAAATGGTGCCTACAACACGGCATCAGAATTGCCGTGGAACCAAAACTCAAGGGATCTCGAGCAGTCTGCGAACGAGGACCTGATGCTGCGCCTCTTCAGCGATATTCTGACATCCTCCAAGAGATCGTGGAGGAGGATGAAGAAAGGGAGCCTGAGGAGCTGCTTCGGAGTCCGGCTGGAAAGGATCGGCTCCACAAGCGGACTGGGGTGCTAACCAGGCCGGTAAGCTAAAAATAACAACAGCTATTTTCAAATGGAATGCCCATTTACTATTTGTTCGTTGATAAATTGCAAATTTTAAATCGGACCGAGTGCAGAAAACGCATATTACAGCGACATAAAGTATGTTTTCTACGATGTAGTCTCCATGAGACACAGCGCGCAGGATTTAAGGCGCAAAGCGAAAACGTGAAAGTCTGCTCAAGTGAGAAAGCTACAGCATACCGTATCAAGCCAAGTGTTGATTAGATTAACAAGGTGTCATTTTATTTCAAAACCAGGAGGCTAGGCTGTTGTGTGCAAGAACAATCTTAACTCGTGCATTCGTTCGTGCGCAAAGTTAGACTTGCAAGCCTGGTTGTGCGTGATGAGAATAGAAGTTCACAGAGCGGCTCAGTGCTGTCCTGCTCTCGCACTCACGGATGGGTATGTTTTCTTTCTTTCCAGGTTTTGCCGAGCCCAAGGAGTAAACTCGGGAAAGTCACCTTACACAATGGACGTTCTTCTACTCATTCCAGAAAGAATGGCCTGAAAGTTTACAGCAGTATTTATTATGAAAGTATTTAATAAAGATGTAATGTGTTTGTTTTCAATTGAATTGTTCTAGTTTAGAGATGTATATATTTTAAATGAAGCTATTAGGCTATGAAGTCTATTAATATTGTTTTAACTATTTATTCTTCTTGTACAAAATACCTTGAAATATCTATGGAATTGCATAAAAACAAAATAAATATTTTGCTTAGTAAGTAAATGGTGAATTCTGTTTGATGTCATTTCGAAACGTGCATTTTCTGCATTTGGCTCAACGAATTGTTTACCTTCTAAAAACGAAGTGAATGTCTTCACCAAGTAAATAGATTCACCGATGAAACTTCAAACTTATGTTTTCCTTAAAGACACTACCAGGGAAATGGCTCCATGCTGTGGAAGGTTTCTGTTATTCATTTTCACAAGGTTCTCTTTTTAAATGAATGAAAAATAACACGGAAAAGATACTAGTACTAATTTCAAGTTTGGAAACCATTGGGGACACTGTGTGACAGCAGTATTTTATTGGTACTTCTGTTATGTCAGTGTGCGTCATATTGGACTGAAATTGAAATCGAAGCTCTTGTGCTACAGTGACATCTTTACACCTTGGAGCGACAGTACCTGCCATGTTCGTAGCATTACAACAGCTATATAGTGGGACGTTTACATCATTTATAGAGCTAAAAACACAACAGCTATTTTCAAACACAATCACTCTCTGAATGGCAGTCCCCTATGTGACTGCTTTCCGTGCCATTTATTTTGTGCAAAAGCGCTTAGTTCTTCAAGAAGGTTGGCGCTTTTTAATAAAGCCTTTGGAGAAATGAACTTTAAAAGTGCTGTTGTCATTTGAGCATATGTATGTTTCAAGACATGATTAATGTCTTATCGCAAATACAGTGAAGAAAACAGTGGTCCATCAACAGTGGTCAAATTGTAAAGCCATACACCTATTACACGACGGGATGAGGAAGTTTGTAAAGGCAAATACACATGTATTTTTAAATCTATTTATTTACATAAAGAGCCCACTTTTCTGATATGGTCTATTCTGTTTGGAATCAACTGATATTTACGCACACACACAGAGTAAAGGTTGACTTGAAGCCTTCAAGTTCAATTGAAGAGAAGGAGTCTGTTACTGATTTTCATCTTACAGTATACCACACTAAAGAAAGAGCACATAGGCCACAACAACGACTCGACAGGAGATGTGTAGCCTACAGCGCCAGCGGTCTCAGAGCATTCAAAACCAGTTACCTGATGACAGAACATCGTGTATTATTCTCCAACATATTCATATCACTTAACACGCACTGGTCCGCTGCAAATCTATTATTTTACAGTAATTAAGAAAGTAATACTACTTTACAGCCATACCTTATACACGATCGACAGTTTCAGTCGGTTTCACTGAATAATAATAATAATAATAATAATAATAATAATAATAGCTTACACTCATATAGCGCTTTTCTGGACACTCCACTCAAAGCGCTTTACAGGTAATGGGGACTCCCCTCCACCACCACCAATGTGCAGCATCCACCACCAAATGAATAACAAATGCATTTGACGGCTCGTTACATGCAAATAACTTTAAAACGTGTTTCCTGTATCCCAGCGTGACAAGAGGGGCTTATAAAAGAAACACTTCAGTTTCTTTCAAGAAACCACATAACTACAGTACAGTACTATCCAAAACTCTATGTGAAGTCGAGATATTCAGAATACAGCTGTATTACAGTTTCTACTAAAATAGTTTGGAGTTTGGAGGCGCAGTTTGTTCAACGTGTACTCTTGAACCATACATTTTAAAACCATTTCAAGTAGGAATCGTGAAAATGCGTTATCGACGCATAAATAAAAACATTTACAAAAATGGTCAGCTGCGCCTTTTACCTATGACAACAGAAATTACGCGCGGACCGGATGGTCTTCAATGTGCTCTTTGGAGTAGTTCAGCTCTAAGACTCCACCAAATATTATCTTAAAAGGCAGTCACGCCTTAGCTGAAACTAGAGCACTTATCAAGTCGGACGTGATGGAATGTCAAGTTGATTTCTGTCATAACAAGCGGTTTATCACAGATGCCGACAGCGCGGTACGGGTATATATTAAAGGCGCACCTTCCGAATAACCACGTTGTAGACGCATTTCATACGCAGCGTTCAAGAAGTCTCACGAATTCCGAATCTGAAAAGGAATGGCAAAGTTAGACGTTTACTGTTCCTTTTTAATTTTGTTGATAATATACAATGCAGCAAGGGCAAGCACTTTGTTCAATAGGTACAGCACCCAAGATCTCGACACTCTGAAGGTAAGAGCTCCATGCCAAAAGTAAACTCGAATCTTAAATGTTTCCTACTTCTCAGCTGTTAGAAACCAGCTGATAATACTGTAGTGGGGAGAACTGTCTTAATTTTTTTTCTTGTACTTTTTCAATACAGGACATAATTGAGCGACTAGAAGAGAAACTGACCCCCAGTGAAGAAAATGAACTCTACCCCGGATCAGAAGAACTAAGTATGGATTCAGGCGAAGACGCTCTTGTTTCTCCGGGGATTCTTCGACAGCAAGAGGAAAATCTGTTGCTGAATCCTAACAGATTAATCCAAGAAAATTCGCCAAGATCCCGACTCCGAGATTTGGCTGGTTTGGCGAGGACCACTAAGTCTTTCGGTGGTTGTTTTGGAAATAGAGTTGACAGAATTGGTTCCTGGAGTGGATTAGGATGCAACAGCTCCAAATTTGGTACATATTCCTTACATTCAGTTTCTCTTAAGAAATCTAGTCACGAAGAGGTGCTGTTTGTACGATCAGACATATCTTAAATCACTAATAGTAACACATTTCAATATTACAATGTGTTGGGTAACGCAAAATGCACAGTCCGACACTCCAGTGCTTTAACAATCTGTGCGTAAAACCGCCCATCTTCACTGAAGGTCTAATACATTTTGTATCCTTTTAATAAGAAGAAAGTACCGTTCTTATTAAAACGTCTCTACTGTATGTACTGAAGTTGCATTGCAATATAATCTGAAGCAACCTGTAAAATATTTGAACACGTGTCTGCAGAATGCTTATGTTACTCAGCTAAAAACATAGAGTTTATATGAATGATTCTGGGTCTTAATTGTGAGCATATTTCGTTAGTTTTTACTGTATAGTTAGAAACACAACATCATTTGTAACAACCACTGCTTGTAAACCTATGGTGTCTTCATAACAAAGTCACCAAAGAAACACAGCATCATCAGTAAATATGGTTCCAACGTATAACTACAACTGACATCTGACAGACTCTTTAACTACACATTTTTAGTGGGGAATATTCGGTTTTGTAATTACACATTGTATGAGAATATTCGACAGTACATAGGATTTGTGCTATTATTCTATAGTAATCAATATAAGCAGTAGGTCATTTCACTAGACTGTAATTTTACCTATTCAACTTCCTAAAAAAGCGTATTTTTTCCCCCGCCAGGTACCAAGAAGAGAATATTCGGCAACTGAGCTTCACGCCCTGTACAGACTCGGCACAGAGGATCAACTCGATAGTCACCAGATGTCAAACTCCACTTGGAATTGAAAAAAAGAAAAAAATAATTGAAGAAAACGCCCACAAACATTTTATACAGCTAGACAACCAAGCAGAAGAAGGCCTGTTGGAGATTTTTGTAGCCTCAGAAATCTGTAATTTCGTACTCTATCTCAGAGTGATTTCGAGGCTTAAATTATTTTTTGTTGGTAACGGAATAATTGGGGTACTCAATATAGTCAGGACTCCTTCAAATGGATCTGGGGTCGCGAATTAGAAATCAGGACACAGAAGAAAGCCAACCAGTAGATTGAGTAGCTGCACTTGTAGTTTACAATTAGTGACAGCGAGAAGTAATCTGGCCAAAACCGACAAAAGAAAATTATTTAATAGAAACAAGAGTATTGAAATACAGTTTAAGAAAGAATGTTACACCAAATCAGTTTTCTAAGAGTATCGTAAACACATGGCAATATATTTAGAATAGAGTTTTAACTCACATTCTATAATTTTCTGCTTCTTAATTCTGTTATATGCATATGTTGTTATTTGAATGTTTAGAACAAACGATGTTTTGGAAAATTATTTATAATAAAGAACGTTTAATTTACGTCTTGCTTGCATTGTGTAGTTCGTGACTAGATTAAAAATACTTTGAGAGTGATCTGTTAGAGTTATTAGACTGGACAGTACCAATAATAAAAATGAGCCTTGGTGACCAGTTTTTGTGAGACACGTTCTGTATTTGATGAAGAACACTAAAAGATTCAGAAATATAATAGGGGACACTACCAAAACCAAAGTAAAGAAGTTATAGAATAGTTATTTTAAATAATGGTCATAGTTAAATAAGAATACAAACTTTGGGTAATTTCTGTTTTGAATTCATTGTTATATCTACCGTTACTTGAGCTCCTTGGTTTAATACCTAGACATAATCCAAAGGTGAACATACAGTATAGAGTTTATACAGTATATGAACTTTACATAGTCAAAATCGCTATTTTCAAAACGTAAATTAGATGAAAAAACTACATACATCTTGAATCAAAAGATTATGATCAAATTCCGTTAGAGTGATGTCATAAAAGGATAAACAAATCACCAAACGTCATGGATATCACATGTAACCGAAACCATTTGAACTTTTCTCTCCAAAGACAGCGTAAAGTTGTCTTAATGGTGCTTTTTGTATTTTATATGGCGTTTTGCACAAAATCCAAATCGCATCTTATGTAGATTAATTTACACAAAGTCTGTGCCCCCCCTTTTGGTTGCTAAGGAAATATAATATTAGCAGTTATATAATATTTCAATTTTAAACTATTCACTACATGGGCTTCAAACTCAATCTTGTGTTTTTTGGTTTTTACCTTCTCAGTTACAAAGTGGGTGTAATCATTTTAATTAAGTGTGTAATTGTAATACTCTGACCAGACTATAAGTGACTTATAGAGTAACTGTATCTCTAATGAAGTTTCCCGTGTATTCAACTGTAAAAGACCTTCAGAGAAATGCTGTGTTACATTTTGGTTAGGAATAGGTTAATTTTTTATTGACTATCCGGTTTGGAACAGTTTGGAACAAAAACCAAAAGACACAAGACTCGGTTTGAGACACCTGGCTCACAGGTTTGAGATCCCTGCTTTAGGGTGTATAGATCGCCTTTTATCACTCTGCTGCAGTGACTACTGAATCCTGTACCCAGTCACTTGAAAATGTACACAGATGCATCCATGTAGAATATAAATAAACAAATAAAAAGATCGCATTGGAAATGCTAAGAACTACTGTATATAAATACAGTTTTTAAATAACGGGTTAAAGAATGTGTTCGAGTCGTATAGAACAGACCTAAATATACTCCGGTTAACCGAGTCGGTTTGGGTTTTCACTCCTTTAATCAGCATACCCTTCAAGCACATTTACAAATGCGATTATACTTTCCACTGACGCATAAATTGTGAAACAGCCAATTAACGCGACACGGTGGCTCGCTGCTTCTTGATGGCTCTTAGTTTCTGGTTTCGATTTCCGACTGGGGCGCGTTCTGTCTGGAGTTTGGAGGTTATCGGTTTCACTAATATACTATTTCATCTTAAAAGCTCAGAGTTTATCGACACCATTCTCGAGATTCCATGAATGCACTGGTTTGTTGTTATGCCTTCACAAAGTATGGCGGGCAATGTGCGGCAGGAAAAGTACCCCAGACGCGAAGCACTACGATTACTGCGGTTGTTCCGATACACTGAAATAAATAAATTCAATTTCGTGGTTGAATTAATAGCATAAGAGCTATGCATCTATTAAAAACCTACCGATCTTTGTACAGGTTTAACAACAATAAATGTGGAATTTCATCTACTCGACTATGCTTGGATCATGAGCCTCCAACCCTAGCCTTGGAGAGCCTCAATCCTGTTTATAATGTATAGATCACCCTGAATGACTTGTTTTTGTTTGTCAAGATTAGACACATTGTAATGTTACTGATAAATGAAGCAAATCATTTGTTCAGCTACGGGATCTTGTTTAATAAATACTTGTTAACTGTTTCTTTAATTATCACAATTGTTCTAGGTCTTTAGAAATGTATGATTTAAGGTCCACCTATAAAACCAGGGCTGAAGACCCCACACCTAGATTACCTGATCCTGCTGTATTCAATTAATTAAAATGATTTACAGTATAATCAAAGCTTTCACTTCGATGCTATGTTGCATTTGACAAAATCATCCTAGAAGTTAGTAGTGGAAGAGTTAATCTTTTTGGTGTTTTGTATCTTCTAGGGTAGAGACACAAAATGTAAATTCAGTTAACTTGAGAAGACAATGTATAACAAGTTAGTTTCTTTAAGGTATAGGGCAAAGGACAACGTTGGTATGTGTTGGTATAAAAATATGCAAAAGACTTTGATGTAATGTGTGATTTGTGATTTCAGAGATACGTGTGTTTTTGGTCTTATTTTGCTGAGAATTAAAAGTATTACTAATTATTTTTGAAGTTAAATAGTTTTGGCACACCATAGAGTATAGAAACTGTACCGTATCTTGTAACCAATTAAGGAACAATTGTTCCGTATGTTTTGATGACGTTAAACGTTGAGAGCACAGAATGTGCTGGGTATTTACCATAAATGCTTAATTCTCATAGCATTTGCAGATAATTCAGTTGAGGTCTGCCCTCACTCTTTCCCCAAAGTGCATCGCCTGTCATTCAAGACCAAATAAAGTGAACAGAAGGACAAGCAACGGGCAGAGGCTGAATACCTCTGGGAACACTTATACTAATTATGACACTTCTGAACAAATTATTGAAATATCTTGTGTATTAGCGCCAAGTCTTCACCAGGTTAGCCGACAGCTTAAAAAGGAATCGGTTTCCGACAGCTTGCTTTATCATAATCAGGTGACGGAATGCGATTCTTCACATAACTATCCATGATGTCACACTAAAATGTACTGTATAAAAAGCCTTCGTCTTCTAAACGGAGACGTACAAGCACAAAAAATAACAAGAGAGACGAGAGCCTTCAAAGAAAGAGTAGAGAAGAGACCTTGAGATTCAAAAAGACAACGTTGACAAGTAAGATGCAGGTGCTCACAGATCTCTCTTTCTTCTACGCTCTTCTTCTGCTGTTGAATGCACAGCTCTGCAGCGCACAGCCTTTCCACACCGACACTGTGGCGAAAGACGTGGAGAATCTGAAGGTAGATTTGCAAATGAATTGTCAAAAAACTGTCAACCGCCGGGTTATTAGTGTTAAATTGCATTGCATAGTATCTGAGGCTGAACTAATCTCTTTCTCGTAATCCTTGATAACTACAGACTATGTGTGCTCTGACATATTTAAAGCTGTGCATATTCTAGCTACTACAAATAATCCTCCTGTAATTAACTGCACTGGAATTGAATCTAGATTAAACTGCGTACTGTAATGCGATATAAAACTAACAAAAAAGGGGGCTGATGTTTTTTTTAAATGCAACGGCATTCAATACCATATCGCAATGGTGACACTTTTCATAGCATTATAAAGTGTACCAGTCTGCAACAATTCAAAAACTGACATGTGATAGCGAGAGCACATTGTCTTATTTATTTCTTTGCACTTTGTGTTTCTAGAATTTGCTTCAACGACTGGAAGAAGCTTTTCCATCGCCTGACGAACAGGAGCCTTTCCTCTCAGAGCAGTCTGAACAGGGAGTCTTCGACGACCTCCCGGGAGAGGCACAGAGCGAACAGCCACGAGATGAACTACACCCCAAAACCACCGACTTGGAGAAGTATCTGTCCGCAAGAGATCTGCAAACACTGCGTAGCGCCCACTCGTCGTCAAAACGATATTCCGGATGCTTCGGGAGAAGGCTGGATAGAATCGGTTCAATGAGCTCTCTCGGGTGCAACACTTCATCGCGATACAGTACGTACACTCTTTCATTTTTGAGTTAAAACGTGATAAAAAAAATGGAGATGCATCGCACCTACAGTGCTGTCATAGTGTCATATTATCTCTGCATCAGTTTCGCAATGTGATCCGGGCTAGAATGGGCTAAATATGACCGTGCCGTCTATATCATTTTGATGTTATGTTGCAATGAAGAAAAACTGGATCAGTGTGCTCAAGGTTCTGTACTCTAGTTTGAGCTTGTGGGCTCAGATGAGGTACTTCACCCAGGTTGTTTTGGTAAAATGTAAATGTGTGCACTACATATCGCTTTGGAGAAAAACGTCGGCGGAAACACGATAATTATTTGCTTCACAGACCACATATCCAAGTTGTTACCATACTGTTTTCACTCATGGTGTTATCTGCGTGCTTTTCAGGGTCGAAAAGAAGCTGAGGCGATCTTGCAGCCACAGACTCCAGAAATGAACCCCGGACCCCAGTGAGGATTCGGCATTTCCACGATGAACTCGACCTTTAGTTTCATTTAACATTAACACTATTTATTGAATGTTATTTATATTTAAATATATTTATTCTAACATATATTTATTAAATTATTGCCTCTGGTCATTTTTATCGTTATAAAACTGCAAATGTAAAATGACAAGTCAAACATA